ACCAAATAAATTGATACTCCACACAGAGCCCCCACCAAGGTCGAAATGTTAAATATTAATATTGTTATAGGACTTGCTCATTTGCCCTAATACCACTCATCTTCTTATATTGATTAATGCTTCCTAGCTGTACAGGATGAGAGAATCTGTGTTCCGTAACGCTTCAATAGTGGAAGAGAAAAGGACAAGCAAGAAGGAAAGATGAAGACAGGTGGTTCTACTCAATAAACGGAGAAGCAAGAAATAAAGAAAACGTCGGGGGATATCTGTGCTCGACGCAAGAAACAGAGGGGCACAAGAGGTCAATGCGAAATATGGGAAGGAAACAGCTCTGGAGATAGGTATCGATCAATGGAGATACGGGAACTTGAGGTTTCAAGTTCCATAATGACGGAGGGAAGACAAACTGAATTAAAAAATAATAATCAAAATAATTTAATCCTTTCGAACTTGAACTTTAATTGCAGCTTCCAGTTGAGTATCAAATCGATGACATAAAACTTAAATGAGTGTAATGGGTACATAATATGAAAATCTAACGAAAAATGTAAACAATAAAATGTTTAAACGTTCATGATGGAACATTTTTATATAGAAAGACGAAAATCTGAAGAACAGTTTTGAGTATACATATATTGTAAAAGAAAAGAGCTCTGCCTCTTTCTAAAACCACCCTTCATAAGATAATTGCTTTTAAAATAAAGTAAACACACGTTACCAAAAGGAAGCAGAGGATCGGAAGCAAGGACACGAGAAAGCGGGATACTGTGCGCGAAAAGGGAGCCGAAGCAGCGAGTGGGAGGACGACCGAGATACGGTATCGTTATCGTTACACTTAAATCTAATACGGATGAAATTCCAAGGCAGCGGGCTTACAAATGGACGCCAGCACGAGGACGTCCGCGGCTTCCTGCTCCGGCGTTCCGATCAACGGCGACGATCAGCTGTTACGCGGCCCACCCACACACTCACTTGCACACCTGAACACACCGGACCCGGTCTCGCTCGTGCACCAGGCATCCGATCCCGTTGAGACGTGTCCGTAACCAGTCCACCGCGCCAGACATAATCGGGACACTTCTTTATACAGCGATTATTACGCTGACGCGCCGTGTTCCTGCTTGTCGTCGTGATGCGTGCTCGAACAGCGCCGTGTACTTTTTGATAACGTTTAAGAACCGAGATCCCGTGTAATCGATGGACACCGTAATGATTAAGTACCCGAAACGACGCGTGTTTCGTAGAAATGGATACGCTTGATGCATGCAGTGTACCGATTTCGATACTCTGGCGTTCGAATCACCAGTCAGCCCTCGTTAACGTTCGCTGGCTCTGTCTGCGAGGCGAAGAATAAAAAAGCTAAGAAATGATCCCTGTTTATTAAAATCTCAACTCATTACCTTAAAAGTCGAAAGAAACACTTGTCTTTTCTGGATCCTTGGTCGTCTATCAACACACCAGAATCGAAATATCGAAGAACGTCATTGTCAATACGTTGTCGCGTGCAACTCTCGTCCGGAAATAAATAATACTGTTATCGATCCAGGAAGAGGAAGTTCGAAGGCTGCAAAGAGGGAAAGGGCTCGAGAATTAAAAGAGATATAAATATAAACGGATTACTTTTCCTTTCATCGTGACTGGAAAGACGGTGCCGCTGTAAAGCAGATCCCGCCTATAATATGACAATATGTATGCTTAGAGAGCGCTGTAATAGAGTTCACCTAAATCACGACCATAATACGGACCGGGGTGGCTGGAACGAGAACTGGGATTATAAAGACAATGACCCCGAAAAGCAAGTCAGGTACGAACCGGTACGATAACTCAAAAGGATATCTAATTCATACGAGAAACTTGTTTTTTATTCCCGCTATAAGAAAGAAGTCATTCTAGATGGGAGGGGGGGGGGGGTGGAAGGGAAAAAAGAACAGCTCCCGTACGACGAATAAATTACCAAGTTTCACAACTTCCGCCGCCATGGAATCGTGAACGCCTCTCTTACGACGACCGCCGCTATCCAATTCGACCTATCTAAAAAGATTATGGTCGACGGAGGTCACCCCTATGCGTTGGCGACGAATCAAGAGAAATCTAAATGGACGAAAACCCGCATCATGTCCTCGCCCTCTGGTCACAGGCCTCTGGAAAGAGGATCGAGAAGAGGATTCAAGGAATTAGTTGTTCCCTGCAGTTCCAACCAATAGGGTAGACCCACGTTGTGCCAATTGGAAGAAAAGTATAAATAAATATGTACATATGACATAGAAATTTTAATACTCTTAGGAAAACTGATCGTCATTCTGTATTTATTAGGATCAGTGTTACTCAACCTTTTCCTCCCCCCAATAGGGAAAACCTCTAGGTCATTTTAACCCTTAACTGGACTCTCAATCTCAACTGAATTATTTTACTTAATGTTGATTTTTATCAAATTAGTAAATGGAAATTAACTTTCCTTTAAAATATTTAAAAAATAATGAATATTAAATAATTGTTAGTGTGAACCTGCAGAGGGTCGTAGTAGCTCCAATAATTCACTTAAGGGTTAAACTTTTGGCACAGAAGCTTAACCACTGGAATTACTGGTTCTACAGTGTATAGGAACATGACTCTAAGAACTGTTGCTACGAAAAAAAGCAGAAACTTTTACTTTGAGAAGTGTAGCTAATAATAATATGAATAATAACGTCAATATATATCATTATACAGAATGGTGCAATAGGCGAAGCGTAGCTACGCTGTTATTATGAATAATCTACAAGGGTACAGGGACGCCAGTTGAAGATTTACGAACAGATTATGTAGCTAAAGATAGGTTAAAACAATGAAAGATGATTCAGGATGAAGGTATTAGCCATATGCTTAAAGGAAATTGTAGTGGGAAGAGAGCGGATACGATTAAGTAAGAGATTGTAATAGTGACGCGTAGCGTGTGTTAAATAACTACTAAATTTGGCGAAGTGAAAGACAGAAGGTTCCCAGATTTCGTATCCTTTGGTTTTCTTCTGTGGGATCATGTTAAAACAAAAGTGTAAAAACAGATTACGTAGGACTCAATGATTTTTTCGTAACAATTAAATTTGTCAATAAATTACCCGCTGCAGCCATAATGCATCGCCACAAAATACACGACCACAATTTGTTAAGATTGATACGTTGTGTTTCTCTGTTTACATTTGTTATAAGATGCACATAGTGTAAGGTAAAATGGAGGAGGTAAAAGGGGTACGAAAGAGAGGAATGGACGAGAGGATAACGAGAAAAAATGTAAAAGAACGAAAACTATGTAAGAAAATATACACTTTGGTGTCACAGGGTTATATGTATAACACCTACGCACCCTAGTAAAGGAAAACTGAAACTGAATCATTCTATAAACTACTATAAACATCCACTCGATACCGATCGCTCTACCCCAAACACTCTTCGTTCGAATCTAGTCATACCTACAGATAATAAATAAATAATTAAAGGGAAGTGACTGATTCAGCGTCGGAACAAGACGTGTTTACCTCACACGGTGCTCCCCCAAGCACCTCTTCGCACAGAAGCGACCGGAGGTCCCAGGCTTCGGATCGGCTGGTCGCATAATTCACGGCGTCGGAGACGTTGCCCGCGCGATTCGATCGCGCGCCGTATTCGGCGGAGGCGCGAGATAGCGAGCGGAAAGAATAAGGGCGCCGCGAGCCCTCCGGTAGCGTGGCGAGCGTGTGTACCGTCCGCGACCCGAAAGGAGGGGGAATCCGTCGACTGGGCGTTCTTTAAGATGGCCGATCTCTTCGCGGCGCGAAATCAATATTGTTGGATTGGCTCGATAACGCCTCGTAAATATAATAAAGCCCTCGGAGAACCCTCTTTCCCTCGTGGTTCGAAGATCCGCGCGGCGCGAACGGGGCGAGCGCAGCCTAACAGAGATAATGGTCGAAGCCCTGGGCACCCGGTAGGCCTCTGGTGGAGGGGTTCGCGATGGAAGAAGGGCCCCAACCCCCTCTACTCGCGTTGCATCTCGCTCCCTCCACCTTCGGACGCAACACGTCGCGGCCAGACCCGCCGGCCACCGCAACAACCGAGTCAGTGAGATTCAGCCCGAGCCGGCGAACGGTTCGCTCTCGGCGCGTCCTTTGCATCCGCTCGCGCCAGCGTCGCGTCGCACTCGTCGTAATCGCCGTGTCGTGTTCTACGAACCCCCCGACGAGCGTGTGTGGTCCTCTGGCTCCGCCACCGGGCGCGCGGTTCTCCAGGAACGCGATAAAAACGAAACTCTGTTCGATCGAACCGGCCGATCGAGGGGGGGGACCATCGAGCGCGACACCCGAAGATCGAAACGGTTCGGGTGTTTCTCGGTGAGGGATCGCCCGGGTTGTTCGACGGTGTTGAGTGTCCGGAAGGGATCCGTGGTCGTCGACGGTGTGGATTCGAGCACCGGTGGACACGGATCGCGGCGGAAGGTCGCTCGAGGAGCAGTCGAGCGAGCAACGAGCACGCGGAGACTTCGACGACCGGTACGAGGATGTCGCACTCCGCGGACCACCCTGACTGTCGTTGTCGTCACCGTGTACCGGTGACGACGATCCTCGCGGCGATCTTGCGGTGAGATCGCGACCCCCGCGCCTCGAGCTCCGTGCCGTGTAAATGGACGACTTGTCTTCGATTTCGTCGCGATCGGTACCAAGTGGATCGGTATCAGTGTGGCCCAGTGAACGACGGGGAAACGTGACAAGAGTCGCGGCGAGGAAAGTTACGAAGGATAGCGATATTTTTTTTTAGCGACGAAGAGGAATCGGTTTGTTAAAAGAGTGGCATGTTCGGTTCGAATCGAAGTTCGGTGAACGATGATCGCGGGAATGACAGCGAGGTCGTCGTCGGATGAACCTAGAAACCTGTGGTTGTAGAACGACGGTGAAAAAGCGATCGAGTGAACCCGGGAAATAGTAACGCGCGTGTGCATATATGCTACGATTCGCACGACGCTCGTGGGAAGCTCTACGAATCACGGATTAATGCACGCCGGAAATCGCAGCATGGAGGACATAGTGAGTATATCATAGCTTCTCTGCGGTCCACGGTCCTGCGCTACGAAAATCGCGCTGGTCGATAGGAACTTCTGCGTACGAATAAAACACGCTCGCGACGACCATTAACGCGTTCACTGCCGGATGAAAACTGTACAATGTTGATTTTAGGCCATTCTTAACTACGTAATCTAAAATTTGTTTCAGTACTTGTTTTTCTAATCTAAAATTCTCAACTCCTACCCAAATTTATTTCTCTCCACATGTTAACTTGGGAATGAATTTTTCCAGCCCCATAGTGGGAAATCCTGTCATCCATATGTGGGTGACGTAGTAGTCAAAGTGTCAATGAATAAATAGAAACTTGAATTAATCATCATAATCCCTGAAACGAGATGCGATCGAAATTTTCGTGCAGTTTTTGCTTGCTTAAAAATTTATGTTCGAATTAATCTCCAGCAGGTATAATGCACTGGCGCCAACGTTTCTTTTAAGTACACTTTGTGGTATAACTTTCGCAAGAGGCCACAACCGGTGACTACGGTGATCGTGATATTAATACGTTGTCATTTTTTAATACAAGTCTTCAAACAAGCATCGAAGCGTAAGTTGATGTTTTATCGCGGTGCAATTCGACAGTTTCAGAACAAATTCCGCTGTCACTTGTTTCGTGTGCATATCACTGAAAATTTTTTCGGATTGGATACCAACTTTGTCAGCTACTTCCTTGATTGTGATTCGACAATTAACATTGGTTTTTTCTTAACTCCACTTTTTCATTGATCGTTAATGTGTTTGATCTTCTAACTTGCACATCATCTTTAACTGACTCGCAACCGGTCTGGGAAACGTTTGAATCGTTTGTGAACTGCTCGTTCGTGGATATTAGACTCATCAAAAGACTTTTACAATATTTTTACTACCTTAACACTTAACGGACGTGTCACGTAAATTTACGTTGCTCCATTTTGACTTTCTAGAACAGGGCACGTAGATTTACGTTTTTTATTTTTATTACGCTGCGTTAATCATTTTTATTTATTTATAACGCAACGTAATAAAAATTTAAGCAAAAACGTAAATCTACGTGGGTCATCCTAGGACGTCAGAATCGAAAAATGTAAATTTACCCGCCCAGTAATACACGCACGAAAGACTTCTACCAAAACCATTAAAAAATCGCGAAATCCTTACTTCCGAAAGGTATTATCGCTTATGAATGATCGATGTTATTATTGTGGGCCGCGATTAAGCGAGCATTGGCCGATTGTTTAGCACATCACGAATCGCCGAGGCGATCGTCTAAACGTAAGCGCGCCGTAATCACAGGTTCTACGAAAATGATGTACGATCGTCGAACAGCGCAACGTCATAGTTCGTAATTACAAGAGGAACGCTTTGCATGCGCATAAGTAAGGCGTCAGACTGTGGATCGAAACGAGGTGTGCAATTATTCGAAAACAAACATCGTTAGAAAGCGTGCAGATAGAGGACTCGCGATCCGCTGAAAGGCGATCGTTCGATCGCGGATCCACGACCTTTTGTGTTACTTACAGGTGTACCGCCTAACGCGTCAAGAATTCCGTTTAAAACAGTCGTTTACATAAGACTTCTGACGTTACGTAAGAATTTCGGCGGGGAACTGGTTGCTGAAAGGGTGACGTACGCGTAGGTGATTGAATATGTTGATTCCGTTGGCAGCTGTCAACTCTAATCGATAACCGTACACGAACGATTGATACTCTACCTATTATGCCTATACCGGTACCCGATACTCGATATAAATGATACTTTACCCTTTCGAGTAAAAGTATCGGTCGATGGTCGAATGCATATATTCTGAAACTTGGTTATTCTATTCACGACGCCGATAGACATCTTTCTCAGCGTTTCACATAAATGCATCGCGTTGCAAATAAAACAGCCTGCACGAACGTGTACGAGTATCCCGATAGTTCCGAGTTGCCAGGCACAGGTAGTGAAAATTGTCACATGACGTGCATTCTATTCAACGAACGTTCGTCGATCGTACCCGAAAGAGTAAAATCCGATTTATCGGACAAAGCGCGGATCAAAGGCGACGAACAAAACCCTCGAACGAAAGGACGCGGACTGGCCGAGGCACGGTCTTAAACTAATGTTTGATCTTTGCGTTCCCGAGGGTTTAAATCCGATTTCCTGGCCGGAATGTGATTCGAGAAGAATGAATAGAACTTCGACCGGGCAAACAGACCTGATTCCCAGTCTTGGTCTAATTGAGAAGTTGGGTTTGTCGGGATTACGAATGTTCGACCGTCCTGTTGGATAAGTTAAAACCGATTTCCTGAACGGAACTTTGACCGAGCTTAACCGGGGACTAATTAAAATCTGAACTGCAATACGATTTTATGTTTATTTTTATTTGATCAATTTTTATACTTATAATGATCAATGTTATTGTAAAACGATGCCTGGTAGGGTAAAATCTTGACACGGTTTAGTGGTTGGAAAGATAAAAGTCAGAAAGACAAAAATAAAATTAATAAAAATGGCTACTGTAACCCATCAACGTAACCCAGACCTAACCCATCAATGGTGAAAATTGGAAACTTTATGAAATAAATCGATATGTAGATTTACATATTTAGAAGTATAAATCGGTGTAAAACTGTAAAAGAGACTGGAATTTTGTATGTCCTTTGATTAAATTGTAAAGGAAAGTTATGTTTGCAATAGTTATACGAGTATCCAATGGTAGTAAATTTAGAAGGTCCAAGATCTGGTTATATTGGCGACTGCCATTACTTCTATTTACCCTACTCTTGGTCGTCAAGTAGCATTATACGACCGAAGAGGTTAAGATATCTCGCGTCATGGACCATTGGTCACCAATCGCCTAGCACGTGTCGTGGATCGTTGAACACCAATCAGAGCTATTTTAATTGCTCGATTGAACAATTAAAAGACTGGGAGAATGCATGCTGTGGATGGTAGCCTTTAATCTCTGTTATCTATAATAGTAAAGTAGAGGAGAAGGTAGGATTATGAGATAGGGTAGAAATATGAAACACTAACATTTTAAGCCATATGCAACACTGCAGAAAATTAATGGTATCTCATATAACCTCTCTATTTTCTAGAAGTCCAATTTTGCATTAATTTAAAAAAAGGGAAAAATTCATAGGTTTCGTTTTTCTTTTAAATTGATAAAAAATCGGACCTCTAGAAAATGTGGTGGTAATACGAGACAGCAGTTTTGCTGTTTAAAATTATAAAAATTTTGACTATTCTGAGAGTCTCTGGATTAAAAAATAGAAACTGTATCTCACATTCTTGCAACTTCCTATCATCCTGTTATCCTCTGCTTCGTATCGCGCAGAACCGGAGGCAAAACAGATCCCGAAAGGAGACGTAAAGGGCCGCGAGATAAAGATTGCACGATGAATTGCGCGGAGAAATCGCACGTGGGAACCGGCAAATGAAAGTCGTAAAAGAAGAGGGACCCCGCGTGGAGGAACCTGCCAGAAGTACTCTGGATGGATGAGCGTCGACGCGCGTGACAGCCGGCGTATTAAGGGAACGTACAGACAAATTTCCGAACCTTGGACGCAAAAAACGCGTCCGCTCGCGGAGACGAAACTCTTCTGGGGAAGAAGGGTACGGCATCGGTCGGTGGCTCGTTACGCCCTGGTCGATTAGTCTTCCGAGAGAGGCTCCTCTCTTCTCCTCGCCGGGCAACGCGCTCGCGTACGCTCTTGGAGCATCGTGCGCGCCGCGCGACGGAGGAGCAAATTCATTAAAACCGGTTCATTTAATAGGCGCGCGCATTACGCGCTCGCAGAAAATTTGAGAGGAAAGACAGACGCGCTCGGGCTCGAACGATTCTGATGATCATCCTTGCGGTCTTTCGCGGCGGATGAGGATGGGATCTCTCGGAGTCGTAAAGAAAGTTCCGCGAAACGGAACGCGCGCGCGGTGCGTTAACGGTAAAGGGGTTGATTGTGATCGACGTGATCCTAATGAGCCAGACCATCTGATTGGATCGCATGTAGGATTTATTATCAAGTAGCTGAATTGCTTGTACTTCGTGCGGGATTATAATTTGTAACCAGTCGCAGAAGACGTTTGCTAAACAGGAACTAATCTTGGATGGAGCTTCTCTTCACTCGTCTATTGCGAATTCCTCGGGATCGGTTTGCCGGATTCGATGGCGTACCAACTCTTTTTGAAACGGGGTGAATAAGTACTTGGAATTGTTCGTGTAACTCGTAAAAAATATTCCATGGTTTTTTGGTAGTTATTCTGGTTCGATTGGGCTGGAAAGTATTTTATTTGAATGTTGATCTTTAGTAAAATCAGGTTAGATCCTTTTGGAGGATGATTATGAAATTTTCAAATTATTGTAGATTATAAAATTGCAATAATTAGAAATGAATAACGTTAGCTGCTCTAAAACACTATTTCTTAACCTGTGGTCTGCATATAGGTAAATCTAGGAATCCATATTTTTTTTTGTATTCAATTGTATATGGACCTGTTGGAACAAAATACACAAAAAACTATTGAGTATTCACTACACGATGCTATCTTTTAACAAGATCACAAATCTCTCAATATACAAAATTCTATATATGTAATTCGGTGACTCGATGGAACCCTTTTCGTCCCTGATGATGCAATGGCATCAAAGCGTCTAAAACCTTTGATGAAGAAATCCAAGTGCCTGGAATCATACGCGCCCCGTCGACGCAAATCACGCAAATTTGTGACTCGTCCGTTTCTTCCATCGAGACACGCATTAGCGTCGGCCAACATCCGAGGGAAATGCTTCTCAGGACAAAAGGACTCCGACGTCCCACCAGTCGGTCAATTAGTCCTGAGAAAGTGCGCGGCAATAGGAGTGCTTCGCGGCTGTGTTCGAGCGTGTGCGAACAGCGGACGCGTTCGCGCACGGTGCGCTTATTAGTTGGCATTGGTCGACTCTCGCGCCTTGTTCGCTCGGGACAATGAGGCGGGGATTGCATATTGTTGTTTATATTTAC